AGATTGCAAATAGCGGGAAAGAAGGCGATGGGGACCCGGCAAAAAAAAAAGAAAAAGAAACTTGATGAAGACTATTTGATATGAAGCGATAAGTACGCACAAGAGAGTGGGTAAGAATCAGTGGGATGCTATAAGCGAACAGTTTCGTTGAAAGGTGTGTAATCGAACATGCATGTGCATTTTACCTGGACTTATCGCCTCCGTGCAAAATTCTGTTACGCTCAGACGTAGACTTATCAATTGTCTGTAACATTCAACTAGACAAGTTGTTACTCTTGCCGAACTGAGCACAACACATTCCGTTGAGAACTCGTAAATGTGCCCCATACAGCAGGTGCTTTCCCTAATTTTCAACGTGACCAGATTCGATGGAGCGTGGTGCAGAACTGAGGTGATCAAAAAAATGACAGTGGCTTCATAATACCGTATTGGAGTCCATCGGTTTCGTTCGGAAGATGCCAATAGGAATGTCGGCTACAGAACTGCATAGTTTCTGATAGAGACGACCGTAGTTCCTTATCCATAAATCCTCGTGCGTTATTTTAAACTGAAATCGTTATTTCAACGAAATAAATCTCACAATCATGAATTTTTATTAAAAAATTAACTGCAAATATTTCCTCCTAAAATGGACTGCAATCGTATTTAGATAAACTGATAATGAGATAATAAGCTAATACTGCAATAAGCTATTTAGATAAACTGATAATGCACCGCACAACCCTCTTCTCAACAAACAAACTGACAAAAATAATGCTTCATTTCAAAGCCAATACGTCAGTACATATCAAATGCATTGCTGAATTACCACTGCCCCATTTAATTCGGACAATTTTTTTGAGAATGTTGTGATGAGAATAGATAAACTAACACTCATTAAGTAGCCGGATCCAACCGACTGATCGATGCCCAGCAGAAGGCGCACGAAGTCAACAACATAAGGCTTCACAACCGCTTGATACAGCAAACGATCTAACATATTCGCCGAGAACACTCCACCTTGTGCGAAAGGAAGACGGAACATGAATGGCATATTCGAACCACGCTTCCGTTCCCTCTGCAAAATTCACTTATCCTTTTCAGTAGATGGTATCAAGTTGACTGTGCGATTACTTTAGCTTCCATCATAATGACACAATCTGTGCACTATCATTCTATCCATTGTTTTCGCTCACTGTCAGTATCTTGTTTAATTATGGTCTATAACAAATCTCAACAACTTCTTCATGCATGTACTGCACACGACTCGCAAACATGTACCTATGAGTCTACCTTCGAAAAGTATTTAGAATCAGCATGATCAACTCAGTGGCCACCATACTGAATATGTCAAAGGATTTCTGCTAAAAAGTAGCCAGAAGACCTAGAATGCGGATGAATGACCTTCTCAAATTTGGATTGTTGCATTGCATATCGATCGTCTGCATCGAACTGCATGAATCGCATATTTGACGAATGTGTCAATTCTGTTATCAATCTCAACTGTGGAAACATCCTTAAAATAAACTATTGTGAAAATACGATTGAAAACATTGAAATAAATTTTAATACCGTTGATCAAATGATCAATTCTTCAAGTCCATATCCTCTCCAAGCGCATCGCTCACAAAAAGTTAATCATTACCTATGAATTTTCTGCACCGTCACGATAGTTGTGCAATCAGCGAGATGCTCTTCAACGGCTGTCGCACCCTCTTTGACAACGATCACGTTGTCCGCCAAACACACGCCAGCCTTCAGTAGATTATCCAAACTGAAAACGATCATTCATTTTCGTCATCAGCTTTTTAGTTATTATCGCTTTCTTGGGCTGAGTTACCAACTGCGACATACTGATTTATAATTGTAGTTGCTAAACAATTTTTATAGCAGCTATATGGAACATTATTCCATCATTGTCCCCTATTTGATGACGAGTTTTTCCTACCTTGAAATTTTGCCTTGCATCCAATAGACCAAAGGAAACCACGCAATAACGTCAAGGAAGGATGGGTTTGGCCTGAAGAAATGTTTAGTTAATTTCAATTCAGTTCAATAACAAAAGTCAGTGATAGGTAATTGAAGCGTTAAGATTAGTAATGTTCAGTATTACAGTTTTACTGATGAAACTGCTGATTAACTCACGAGAGAATGGATAACTCACGAAGTGTTTTCTTCAAGTTCAAGCAATAAAATGATTGGTTGCAGTTGATGTACAGGTCGATAGTAGGCTCTGAGAGGTATGATGATATTGTATAGACCTGAACAGGTACGATCTGCAGCCACGATTATTGCTGGCGATGTCCAGTTGTACTCAGCTGCAGTTTTGAACTGACAGTGTTCACATTCCTGAACATATTATCTGTTTTCTTATTTCCATATATCGCATTCTTTCATTGTAGCTTTCCT